AAATGAATAAATAAATCCCGTTTTGATTGTCCTTTAATTGGAAAAACTCCCTACGCGCCTCGCAGTGCGGAAAAAGGAGGTGTGACACCCAACAAAGTGAGTACTTTTTTTTACATGATGTAGAAAAAGTATTTTCTTTCATTTCAACAAACTAAGTATTTTCTTTTCCTGGAACAGAAAAAGTATTTTTTTTCCCAACAAAGTGAGTACTTTTTTTTACATGATGTAGAAAAAGTATTTTCTTTCATTTCAACAAACTAAGTATTTTCTTTCTTGATGTAGAAAAAATATTTTTTCCTTTTTAACAAAACAAATACTTTCTTTTCATGATGTAGAAAAAATAATTTCTCAGTTCAACAAACTGAGTATTTTCTTTTCATGATGTAGAAAAATTATTTCCTTTTATTTAACAAAAAGAATAATTTCTTGTCATATTGTAGAAATGATACCTTTTTTTAATAAAATAAAATATTTTCTTTTTAGTTATCGAACTCAAATTTTAACGTTGTTCTTGGGTGAAAAAGTAAAATAGTACATTAGTTCCTTTGGGTTTGTGTGAATTTTGAAAAGAATAATTAAATTTTTGAAGAAAATAGAGTTCGGAGGAGGGGGTGAGAAGAAGGGGGTTTGGGGGGGAGTACAAGAAATATAGAGATTTTGTGGAAGATGGGTTGAGAAGAGTAGCATAAAAAATTATTTTCCAAAAAATACTTTATACTCTCTAACCAAACACTATAAAATATTTTTTGGAAAAAGTTTTTCGCTCACCAACCAAACAAGAAAAACCAGGAAAAATATTTTTCATGGAAAACATTTTCCTTCGTACCAAACACACCTACTGTCGAATAACATTTTCTATTATTTTGCAATATCAAGACTAGTGACTACGTAGTATAAATGCTTTCATCAAACAAAATTTCTTTTTTATCGCAGCCTGTCAACACATGAACATGGCAATACCTAGGACATATCTAACATCTTATCTAAACTTTAGTTTCTCTAGCTGTATAAATATAGTGCCCATTAACTTTGAATTACCAAAAAAATTACTAATGTGTAATATGTCCTACTTTTAAGGGTTTTCAACTTTTCATTCATATTTAGGTCCTCCTAGACTTGAACCAAAAGTCTTGCTGCTTTATTCTGCATCAAATGGAATCACCGCACCGGGCTTTAATTTTAAAGATAAATGGTCATTAAAAAGTCCCCTCATGACTTACCTATCCAGCTAGCTAGCCTCCTCGCATATGCAAGACCCTATAGAATATTCATGCAAATTAAAACTCTTTTAGAAAAAGAAAAAAAAAAACTCAAATATATTTTTCCATAATTTTTTTGGTATCAATTTGTTGCCTAGCCTTCATGAAGTAAAATGCAGAAGTTACCTTCCTTAAATTCTATTCCAACTCTTTCATGCAAAAATCTCATGTAGACATGATCTTCATTTTGAGGATAATATTCATGAGCTCTTCTCATTTTTCATAATTCAAAAATCTTAACATCAATGCCTTCTCATGCACTTCATAATTATTCCTTAAATCTGAGAGCTTTTAAAGTCCTTTTCATTATTTCCTTGGTAATTAGTTGAAAAAAGTCACTGTACAGTTTCCTTCATGTAATACAAAATATTGATATTGATCACATCTGGAATATATTTGAGTACAAAAGTGTGATTCAAAAGTCAAATCTGCTGATGGTGAAGAATTGGCAGTGGACTACATATATATATATATATATAAAATTCCCTAGTATGACAGGATGTAAGGTAGATCAAGCATAGGCGTAGCCAAAAATTCCATCAAGGAAGTTCAAAGATTAAACAAGTCAATAATTTATTTTTTGGTTATGGTGTATAAAAATTTTTAAAATCAAACTATGCAATATTTAGCTAAGCAATTAAAAAAATAAAACTATACTTTTATAAATTAAAATTAAAATAACAGAAAGATAACATTAGAATTTTACTAATAAAAGTAAGCATAAAAGATCAAAGGAAAAAGAGAGTTGAGAGAATTTGTAGTTTGTGGAGAGCTTTTGTTGAAGAAATTTTGTAGAGCTTGACTTTTAAATTATAAAATTTATTTAAAAAATAGTAGTAACTTTTAGTTTAAAAAATTACTTTAAGATTAGTTGTTGATTTATATACAAATTTTAAGTTTTAAGAGTTATTTATTAGAATTGTTTTTTGATTGGAAAAGAATCAAATAGACCACATGGTGGTCTCCGTTTAGTTTTGGCAAATAAAATGAGCAGAACTTTGAACCCGTGAATAACACATCACTTTGAACACCCTGAACTTTTGTACTGCTTCAGTCAACCGTGTTAGGATATACAAAATATAGTAATAAATATCCATATAAAGTAGTACGTATTTAATTTATATACACAATATAATTTTCGGTAAAGGGTGTGCGCTTGACCACCTTAGCATAGGGTAGCTACGCCGGTGAGATCAAGTATTAATAGCACAATTAAAAAAGCCCTCTCCATTAGTAGACTGTAATATCTTTGCTCACGACAATTGTAACCTCTCAAGAAGTACAACTGAAATAATGAAAGAATTTTTTAGCATAAAAAGAATAATTTGCATGACGAAGAATGGAACTACATATTCAAAATTTTGCTTCGATAGAACTTCTTCTTTGTTTGTTGTTGTTGTTGTTGTTGGTAATACAAGCTTTTCAAGCAAATATTAGACTCATAGCGACATCAACTGTCTAGGGCCTAGTTCTTATATGATCTTTGAATGACCATGGATCGATTGTCCTTCAAGAAGAGCTTTACCTTATTTTTTTTCCACGAGTAAGCAGTCTCTGATATAAATATCAATATTCTTCCGCCCTTATGGGAGGTGAGCGGGGTGTTCAAGAGAAGTAAATAAAGCCAGACGCATCATACTCTTGATTAGGGATTGTGTCATGTCAATTCTAATCTCATTGTTAAATTTCTTTCATAACGCTGATGAATAATGGCTACCATATTATATTACTCATTGTTCAAAAACGAAGGACCAAGCAAGAATTTACGCAGGAAAGATATTCTCCTTCAATTATTTGTCTACGTAGTAACTTTTGGTGTAATAATTAAGCACAGAACAGTAGACAACAACCATGGGAAAAGAAAGAAAAAAGATATAGACAACCTGTACTCTCGCTTCTGATATTAATTAGCAATTAACGGAAAATTGAAAAAAGCAGCGCATAATATTCTTCTACGTGAAAACAAAATTGGTAGTAGTATATATTCTACTGCAAATTGGAAGTAGTTTGTCCACTGTACGTATTTAATATGCATCACTCGATCAATATATAGACGTATTAAATTTGTGTAAGGCAAATGAAAACCAAACAGTCAGCAGTTTGTAAAACATCATTGCGTGCAGGTTGATGAAGTCTCATTACTTGATTTCAAGATTTTTCAGTTTTTGAATTTGTGGAAGGTTTCACAATGTTTCTGAAACACTTCTTCTATAAATCCTTACTTTATATAGTTTGATCAATTTCGTGTTGGTCTTCTTACATTGATCCATGCTCGTTTAACAAAGATCATATATATAGAACTTGCGCTGGTTCTTTGATATCTGTCTAATATTTACTTGAACAGCTTATACTACTGTATACGGGTGAAACCGGGGCTAACGCATACCTCGACTTCCCGATGGGTCAAACGAAGCAAGGATATCACTACATGGGATCGGAATCGAAGTTGGGAACTTCTTGTACCGAAGCCCGAATGGAGTGGCCTCCATCGGGCCTGATAAGACAACATTACCCGGACCTAGAACGAGCTCCGAGACCTCGGAAAGCATGACAACGATTGCACACGACTAACAGAGGACCATGATATCCGCACCCCACCGGATATCACGACGTTGATCTTGTCCGATGTCGGTAGCGTATCAGTAATTGACGAGAAAGTAGGATTTTTACCTTTTGTAGAATTGTACTATGGATGAAACTATCCTACTATATAAAAGATAAGCTTTTTATTCAATAGGACACACTATAACACGCAAACCAAGGCAATTCAAGTTTCATTAACGTAACAATTGATTTGATTATTCCTTTTGTCTTTAACTCGTTTATCTAATATTCTTGATTATTTATGTTGAATCAATCCACATATCCTTAAAATCGCGCATGAATTCAATTGTTATCCATTTTAAGGGTAAACAACACCAACATCAACCATAAAAGAGAAAAAAATTTGAAGTGGCAAAATGCAACCAATTTGAATATGCAGATCGCAGTTTTCAATTCCACTCTTGGAAATGACAAGCAAGAGCTTTTTCCTGAAGGACAATTAATCCATATTCATTTGACAAATATACTGTACAAGTAGCACTGGTTGGTTAATGTCTTTGTCTTAATATTTTGCTTGAAAAGTAAGGTTAACAAAAATTGCTATCTTCTGATATCCCGGAATTGACCAACAGAAAAACTCAACATCAAAAATATATATATAACTGAGTGTTTTTCAAGACCATCTCTTTTTAACAAATTGATTTAAATTCTGCTAAATGTTGAAAACTTAGCTACAGTCTACAGAGAAATAGCAGATTCAGAAATTTTGTAATCAGTAAATGTCAACAAGAATAGAAAAAAGTAATCAATACAAAAATATACTGAACAAAACATGCCAAAGCATTTTTGCTGCTGAAAATGCACAAAATCACACTCCCAAATTGTTGAATCTTAGTACCATACTTGAACAGGGTGATCATACCAAAAATCCAACCCATGATCAAATACATTATTTGAACGTACCAACTGCTATCTGATATCCCTTGTTAGTAACTTTCCCAAGAATCCTGATATCCCAACCAACCCTATTAATGTATTCTCTGCCAAAAGTGAAAAAGAGAAAAATTCATTTTGAGAACAATCTGATCTATGCAACAAATCTTAGTCAAATACAAAAATCATTTCTATCGTTCAACCAAACAGAACAACAACTATCTCAAACAACTGAAAAATGTAAAAGAACCAAGAAAATGAAATCAATCACAATATCTCATTGACCAAAAAGAAAAATTCATTCACAGACAGACAGAGTCTCTCTGAATTTTGCCATATCTCATCAAAATGCAATCCAATTTTTTTCTGATTCATTCACTGCTAAGCTACACAGTCTGAATTAGTGAGTTCCTCATTGTGTGGGACTGATCAGATGCACACATCTATACTGTGTATATATATATATAAAACTACAGAATTTAAGGGGGTCATTATTGGATGATGCAGTGTCAAATAGATTCCACTTGTGATTCAATTGAAACCTCCAAGACAAATTAGGACTCTTTTTTTCATCACTCCACACACAAAGTACACACTATCTGTCTATCAATATCTCATTAAACACACACACATACAAAAAAAGTCACGCACTAAACCCTAGTCCCAGAAAACTCCTTGAATACTCTGTACTTTTAAGATTCGATTTTTCTGAGAAAGTTTTGGATTTTCTTGGAAAATTGAAACACCCAAATGGCGGAAAACGGTGCTCTGCCGGACGATCTCCGGTGTAACAGAACGGACGGCCGGCAATGGCGGTGCAAACGGCGGGTAGTGGAAGGGAAAAAGCTTTGTGAAATTCACTATATTCAAGGCCGTCACAGGAATAAGAAGCAGAAGGTACCGGAGTCGCTGAAAATCATTAGAAGTACGAAAAACAAGAAGAAGCCCAAGATTCAGAATTCAAAAGGGTCTCTTGAAATTGGGTTGAGAATATTAAAGAAGAAACCCCTCAAGCCTAAACCCTGTGTTTCAGAGGCATTAGATGAAGCTTTGAGGAGAATGGAACTTAAAAGAGGGGATTTGCCGTTAGAATTGATTCGGGTTTTCTTGAAACGACAATTAGAGAAGAAAAAAGATAAAGAATCAAAGAATGATAGTGCTGAATTGATGAGAGAATTCCCTAATGCTGTAATGGCTATTCCTCCTACACCCGCAGAGAATTTCAGCAATGCAGGTTCTGTTTTGGACATAAAATTAGGCCTGGATTCGAGCTCTAGCCCCTTTTCGTTAAGGCGTTTCCGATCAAAAAATATTGAACCCCTTCCAATTAGTACAATGCAGGTTATTTCTTTTTTCGTGTGAGCTTTTATTTTAGTTCAAAAAACTGATGTTCTTTCAAATTGTTATTGTTGTGTATACATGATAACTGTTGTAATGAATGTGGGGGGCCGTTTTGGTGATTAGGCCGTGCCATTTGCTAAGAACGGGAAGAATTTAAGTAGAGTAAGCAGGAGGAAGTGTCATTGGTGTAGAAGAAGCAGCTACCGGGTTCTGATCAAGTGTTCGAGGTGTAAGAAACAATTCTTCTGTCTGGATTGTATTAAAGAAAGGTTTGATCTTTTGCTTTCCTTAGTTTTTGAACTAATTTACTTATATTTATGTATGGTTACCTGTTTTCTCACAATTCTCCTGTATGCAGAAGTATTTGTATTGAAACCATTTTTTTAGTGTTAAATACATTCGCAGGCAAGTTATACCATCTGCCTTTGATTCTGGTTCTTAAAAGTTGAACTATCTTCAGCTAGATTGTTCAATGACTTTAACCTTTTCTCAAGGAGCTTACAACTAGCTATAAGTGGGTAAAATAATTTTTATTGGCTGCATCTGATACTCTCAAATTAGGACGACATTCAGTTAGGATGTTAATGACTTTAACCTGTTGGCATGGATCTTAGAACTATGAGTTGGTAAGAAATGAAAAGGACTATTTAGGATGTCCTTGACATTTGACAAGACGGTGAGCTGTATTTTTCTTATTGCTTCTGCTATGCTGCTGTGTCCTGCCACTTCAGGTGATTTGAACAGCTTGTGCTTGGAAAGTCTTTTCTGTTANGGGAACTCTCCTTCAAGTAAATTTTCAGCTTTGTCAGATTGGAAAGGCAAGATTTCCAGAATATTGGTTCATCAAAAGGCACACAGAATGAAGGTTCATTAACGAACTTAAAATTGATGGAATGGCACCAGTGAAGTTATTGTTTTTGACATCAATTAATCAACCTCTGCAAATGAGCCAAGTCTTCTGGCAAATCCCCTGTGGAAAGTGTTGTTACTGATGTCGAGGGAAACAAGACACGATCGGTTTTTGATGTGTGGAGGAATGGTACCTTGAAGTTGCATTCCAGAAATGCCTAAAGCTGTGCCCCTATGGTGGTGGGAGAGCCTGCAAGTGATGCCAATCCAGCTGCAAACTGAACTGGAAGCAGGCCAGTTGCTTGCTAAAATGTTGTTAGGTTCAGATGGAATGTGGATATGTAACAAGAACAACTTGTTACGTGAAAGTTCTGATGTTTGATCTGTTTTAGGTATTTGGAGAAGCAAGAAATTAGAGGGGCATGTCCTGTTTGCCGTGGAGCCTGTAGCTGTCGGATCTGCAAAAGGAATGAATTGAAGCCCTCCAGTCATAAGGTATGACAAAAGTGAAACTGAATTTGAGCCATTGTATGTACTTATCTAATTCTGATTCGCTTGTTTATGAACAAAACTGTACCAGGAATTCTGTAGGCATAAAAGGAAGGTTCAAAAAGTCCAGCTACTTTATCATCTGGTCCACCTGCTTCTTCCTGTACTGGAAAAAATAAATGAAGAGCAGAGAATTGAAGTGGAGATAGAAGCAAAGATATCGGGTACTGTTATTACTTGACACTCTGGGATTTGTTTATTTTTTCGAGTTTGAGACATCTACTCATATTTTACATTTTATAGGAAAGCAGCAACCTGACATTCAGGTTCAGCAGGCTTCAGCAGGAGAAGGAAAGTTATATAGCTGGTAAGTCGACTGCTCCTGAAAAGTTTGGTTGGTAAGGATATTAAACCCGCTGCCTGTCTTATCCATGCTATTTTAATTCTGAGCAGTAGTAACTGCAAAACCTCCATTCTGGATTACCACAGAATCTGCTCTGAGTGTTCATATAGCCTTTGCTTACATTGTTGTCGGGCGTCCCGTCGTGGAAGCTTAGCTGAAGATTGCAAATCCAATGGTTCTAATGAAGAACAAGCTTGTTCTTCTAACTTTGAGCGAACATCAAGGATGAAGCATACTAGCACCTCAAGGCAAAGTTTCTCGGGGATACATTACTTGCAAGCTTGTGCTGATGGAAGTATATCTTGTCCCCCTGCAGAATACGGCGGTTGTAGTAATAGCATCCTGGAGTTAAGATGTGTATTTCCCTATGCTTGGATCAAGGAACTGGAAATCAGCGCTGAATCAATATTATGCAGCTACAACTTTCAGAACGCGGAACACATTTTTTCATCTTGCTCATTATGCAGGGGAAGCGATCACAAGGATGCTGTTTTTGATTCATTCATGAAAGTGGCTGAGAGACAAGATTCGCGGGACAAGTTCCTGTATTGTCCGTCTATAAAGGATCTCCGTGAAGAAAACCTTGAACACTTTCAGAAACACTGGGGTGAAGCTCATCCTATTATAGTACGAAATGTGCTTCGAAATTCTCCTGATTTGTCTTGGGATCCTGTTGTTATGTTCTGCACTTACCTTGAGAAAAGGTCAAAATGTTCCCGAGATAAAGAAGCAGCTAAGGCACAAAATCACTCGGACTGGTGTGAGGTAGGTACTTTATGCTCTCTTCTCTAGATCTCTGATAAAATGCTCTATGTCCTCTGGGCCGTTGACAAGAATTTTCTTTTATCATCACCCTTGACTAGAACTTAACCTCTAAATTACAATATTTTAGGATGCAATTGACAAAGTTATGTTTATAAGGTTGATATCAGTTGGGGTAGAAAGGCAAATCTCTATCAGAACAACAAATTTTGCTCTCTCTCTCTCTCTCTCTCTCTCTCTCTCTTTCCAGAACGGGAAGAACGGCTGGGATAGGCTATAGTCTGACCTTTTTATTTTTATTTTTGTAATAACGGAGGTGTCCGAGTGCTTTCTTGTGCCTCTACTATTCCACCGACTATCTGCTACCTCCTACCAATACAGGGGTAACTTTGCCCCTACGCTTAGACAAACGGGAAGAAAATCACCTACCGTTTCTTTCTTTGTGGGATTTTGAACACTAGTCCTTCCATGGTTTTCACCCACTTCATTGAATGCTCGACCAATCCTTGGGTGCTATAGTCATCTAACTCTTAATTATAAATCAGAAGGATGCATGGACTAAATTCATGTAGATGAGAACTGCGCTTCTCCTTTAAATAATTCTAATTATGAAAAAGCTGGAGTCTGAAACGAAGCTGCACAATCTTATTTGTTCTCTTCCCCTAGATATTCTTATCTGTTAAGTATGTTTTTTCTTGGTTGATATTAATAAAGGTAGACGATCTGAAGAACATAGCTGTCTATGAACTTCTCTCTTCAGTTCAGGACAGTAAGGACTACTTTCTATGTTTCATTTATATGGTAGCGTTTGGCTGGACATGAATTTTAAGAAAAAAAGCAAGAAAGGTTTTGATGCATGAGCTAAATATATATGACATACAAAAGTTCCTAAGAATCTGATTGTCTTCGGCATGCCTGCCAACTCCTCTAAGAGCGTGTAATTGACGGCAAAACGGGCATGTTAAGATTAAAGAGTTCCCAAAAATAAAAGGTGTCAAT